CGACTATCGCGTGATTCGACGTCGTTAAGATCCGATTTGAATATCCTTGGATAAGGACGAGGGTGTCGAAACGGCCTCGAGAAGAAGCTTCTTCGTTTAAACGTTTAATCGCCGTTCCTTTTATATCGACTCCTCTCTTTTTCTCCGTATCTATTAGTTGCCTTTACATCGAATTCACTCTGTATAAAGTTGCTCCCTATCCTCGTTTCGGAAGGTATTTATATTTATTTTTCTCGTCGTTTTTCTTTTTTTCCGTGCAGAAATCAAATCGACGAGTCGAATAAACTTGTCTGCGCCAACAAATTTCCCAGCCCGTTTGTCGGCTTGATTACTTTCCACTGAATTGCGAGACGATCATTAATCGATCTTTGCGAAGCGAAGAAAAGTTACAGTCATATGTAGAGACTGGTTTCACACTAGATATATTACGTAAGAGTATTTAAAAAAAAGGATATTCTCTCTAATCCGTGCGAGCGTGTTGAAAATACGTCTATAATTACGCAACATTATTTAAATAGTTATAATCGAGAGAGAAAGACTTCATGTCTTCCATCTTCCCCATCGATTCTGAAAAAAATGTGAATTGCTACATCCATCGAAGCATTGCAGATATGCATGCGTGCATTGACGGTCATATTTGCACGAGACTTAATGAGGCAAGCGTAACAAATCTTCGTGGCAAAATGTTACGTTTGCGGCGATCGTGTCGATAAAATGAAGTTTCGCAAAGGCTATAATCGCATCACGCAATTTAAAGAGAGAGAGAGACACTTCATGAAACGCGATCTCGATACTTTGAAACGTGAGGCGTAAATATTTCAGGAATGCCGAGGGCACATGACACCGAAGAGAAAAAAAATCTACATCAACGCAAGTGCAAGATAATGCATAATAACATGAAAAGTTGTACGATCGCGAAAATGTGTGCGAGAGTCGAGAAACTTTGTCGAGGGGAAAGAATGATGAAGGGAAGATTTGCACTTGGCAGAAAAAAATGGCAAGCAGAAAGGGATTTTCTAAAATGGTTTGTTGATATCGAAAGAAAATTACACCTCTGCGATTCCTCGTTAAGTCACCTCTCTCAATTATCTCTTCGCTGCAATATGATTTTCCAGGATTATCGGTTATGATATCCACGTACACGTGTTTTACATAATAAATATCGACTAGATGTTTGTCGGATATTGATTAACGGCGTAAATAAGCAAAGTTAAACGTGCAGCGCTATAAAATAAAGTATGAATATTTATATCGTACAAATTGCACACGAATTTTCGAAATATATTTTAAATGTTGTATGCAAAAATATATCAGTTTTTTCGCGAAAAATAAGGGATATTTTACGAATGCAGCGATTCAGTATTCACCACGTTAATTATGCTTCGCAGCCTATAATTATCTATCTACTTTGTTTGCAAATCGATTCGATTTTCACGAGGAGCGTATAATATTGCGGGCTGAAACACAGAGAGAGAAAGGAAAAAAAAAAAAAAAAAAAAGCACGCAGGTGCGAAAGAAAGCGAAGGAAATCTACCCCTATCGCGAGGTTGAGGGACAGGAATTATCCTCGCTACCCTCTTTTCTCTTGTCCGGGAAAAAGAAGAACGACGACGTCGTTCGCTTGAAAATTGACCTCGCTGTCGAGGTCGGGGGTTCTCTCGAGTCTTCATGAAACATACCGTCCATAATTAATGCCACGCGAACGCGGTTATATAGCGATACGTTTGCTAAAGTTATACCTCCGTCGTTCGCACATACATTGAGAAAAGTATCACTTTATCTCGATCAGAGCGTAATAAATCTTCCGCACTTTGCATCGAACGAATATAAAGTCGATCAAAGCGAAGCACAACATTTTTCCCTCTAATATCTGTCTTAAATAAAATTGTTCGAAATTATGGAAAATCATTTCGGTCTCTTTTTCCGTTTCGCGTCGTTTTAAAGATATATATATATATTGCGAATTGGAAATAGATAGATCTGGTGGTGAAGGTAACATCGTGTATCTCTCCCCGGCTAGACAGACAACTATTGAATTTTGGAGCCACTCCAGTGCTGAAACTTCAGTATCCATCGGTGAAAAATCGAACTGCAGGGCCAATTTCGAGTACGACCCCTCCTCCTTTCGTGAAGCGCTTGTCACTTCGTGCTGCCGGCTCGTTTATTTTCGTCCCGTTTGGATTTTATCTCTCTTCTTCCGTTTCCCCAGTAACCAGTAGCCTGCCAAACTTTGCAATATATTTCGGTACGACACGGTAACCTTGTCTCAAATTCGACGCATTCTAGCGCGAGAAGAAACGAAGAAAGGAACAGGTAAACAAGGGAGTGCGAGAGAAAAAGTCTCTGCTCTCTTTCTCTTTCTTTCTTTCTTCCCGTCGGTGAGACCCTTCGGGCCTCCGAAACTTTCGCAAGTTCATTATCGAGACGGAGGAACCTTGCCCCGGGTTGCACGAGTCCACTTGGCTACTTCGAACCGGTCAGGTAAAAAAAAAAAAAGATAAAAAGCGCGTCGATAGCGTACGTTCGATATACGCGGAATATCGAAATGCGATTTTCAGAGTTTTGCGGCAACAGTGAATCACGTCTGAAATTGGTTTAATACGACGATAAAATCGCATTTCAAGCGTATTGAGTCTCGCAAATTTTGCAGAAACTATTCCGCAGGTGCTCCGAATATAAAAAATAAAAAGTTAAAAATGAAGTATAGAAAATTAAATAATATCAATTAGAGGATAAAATTGGGAAAGATAGAAAAAAAAAAAATAATTAAATGAGATATTGTGTAATCTAAATAAATTATTTGTTCGAAAAATTGATAAAACCTTGATGTACGATACATCGCAGACTACCCTCATATATGTACTTGTACAAATATTTAAACGTATAGTAATCAATTTTATTATACAATCGCAATTAAGATCCATATCATATCCGCTTTGCGCATATCATCTTTGAATCTTCGAATTATGCGATACTCGCAATGCAATGTATATTGTAACAAATGTAATCGACGGAAGAGTAATTAGTCCACAATACAGGAAGGGTAATAATATATCGAGCTGAAAGAGTAATTGATCCAGGATGCGGGCGATAATTATGATATCGGTGCCTTTATATATCGCTATACATATTCATACATTTTTTTTTATTTCGCATTACGGACGCAGCTGTTCAGAAGTATCTCATACAGGATTCAGAAAAGGATTCCGACTGGATTACACGAGATAACGTTTGACGTGTAATTTCGTTAACAATTTCCACGAAAGATAAAACGCGACCGCCGCGATACGTCGTCTCGTCCTACGTGGACGCGTTTCGAATTCAGAATTACGCCGAGGTCGAAAGATCCGTAGAAGATCGTAGAGAGATACTATGGTCCCTTCCGAAAGATCCCCGAATATCCTAAACATCATCTTCTACCGTCCCGCACGATATCTCATCCAGTTTTCAAACGTGGAATTCGAAATCGAGTACGCGAGTTTCGCCCCATCCCACAAAATATGACATTATTTTTCGTACACAAAATTTTGTCTCAATAAGTAATCGTGAGACACGGTACTGGAAGAATTTTATAAAAGTTTCTCTGATTAATATTTCTATCACAATAAGATATAAAATATGTTGGATTAATTTTATTACGTACATATTAATATTTTTTTATTGTGGTGAATATTAATAAGAGAAATTCTTATAATATTGTCCCACAATTACCATGATTTTCAGGGTAAATTCTAAGAGAAAATTCTCTCCGTGTAAGGAAAAAAAAAAGAGAGGAGAAAAGAGAAAACCAGACAACGTGCTTTATTGCAATAATCGTGCATAACAAAAGTCAAATTACGAGAATGCAAATATGTTGCGCGCCGTTAGGTCTTAAACATTAAGGGGAAGAGGATAACTTTGCCGATAAAATCATGATAGTCTCCGTGCCGAGTAATTTTTATGCTCTTTAACCTCTGTATTCAAATAATATATTCTCGTGCGTTGCATTTACGCGGCAATTTATATGAAATAGTGTGCTATAAATTACTTTATCTATTTCTCTATAACTCCTCTAGTCTTCTAATTTATAAATACATATATTTGAAATTTGTGAGTAACACTATTTGTATTATTTATTCCGTTTTTCAGTCGACTTACATGGAATTTCAATTAAACGTTTAACCGTCGAGATATTTAACATTCGAGGACTATGAATAACTACTTTATAGAATGCACATTGTAGAATCTATTACAATTGAAATTACCCATTTCATAGATTCGCCACTTGATTTTAAAGCAAATTTCGCGGAAAATTTGGAATTCACAGGCCGTTAAACGCGAACATTTTCGTCGATTTTCCTCTGAAATACGGTAAAGTGTCGAAGTTGCTAAGGAAAGAAGCCCCTGTATGTCGAAGCTAATACTGATGGAAATAGAAAAAGATCGAGCTAGGCAGGAACAGCTGCACTCTCTTAAGATGAACGAACGAACGAACGAACGAACGAACAAACGGCAGACGGAACACAACCGAAAGAGGGGGTGGCCTTTATTGGTTTAGGGTAGTCGGAAAAGCCGGGGGCATCGTAGCACATTTCCACCGGCAACGTGGTTCTTTTAAATTGTAAAACCGGTAGGTTGGCTAGATAGGCAGACAATGACGATTCGTCGACCATATTATGATCGATAGCGAACGCGTGTTACGTTACGACAGACGGTGACAGTCGTATAATCTCTCATCAGCCTTCTATTATCGAATACCGGCTTGACTTTGCCCGAATTTCAATCGTCTTTCTTGTTTCTCCGTTTATTTCTATACATTTATTTTATTGATATTATATTTACAAAAAATTTTTTTTAAATTTTCTAAACCTAAAACACATCTTGCAACATAAAATTAATTTTAGAAAAATGAATACGTGTAAATTGGTACACTCTATATCAACTTGATTGTCGAAGATATCGGAAAAGATGTGTATAAAATGCCGATCGTAGGTATATTTCGAATAAAATAAAACGCTTACTTTTGCACCATGCTACGTTCGAAGGAGACGAGTCTTCGGGCTTTGTACACCCTTTATGGCGTGCAATCGATCGATGAAATAGCTCGCGACGACCTTTCGAAACGGCTCACCCTTCTCGCGAACAGCTGGCTCCCGTCATCCATCAATGCAGGAGGAAAACGTGGAAAAGCTAGAGGAGGGCCTCAAAATTTCATTCTCTCACAAAACTCTGCTCGAAGCGAACAACAAATTCCTCCGTCTCGATTAGATTACTCCTCGAAACTTTGAACACATACCACAAACACCTTTCACCACTGATTCCGATTATCGACAACAATCACGGACGTTATTCCGGCGCCTCGGACACGAGTTAATCACACGTGCCATCGGCACGCTCACCAATCACGTTGAAATTAATTTCCACCACGTGAACAATTGTACATAGCTTTCTCCCAGCGTCAGGAGCTTTCGAGATTCATTCGCGCGCCGCGGAATAACTTTCAAAGAGGACATAGAACGCGTTTAGTTAACGTAAAACGCAGTAACGCGTCCGTCCTGCTGTATATATACGATCGAAGCCAGTTCGAACTATAAGGGGGACCGTGTATCGTGCTGTGCTATATCTATCCCGTGGCCCGGCACGGAGAAGACTGGAATGGAAACCGAATTGTGTAGGGGTCTCTACATAGTGCATACGTGTCGGGGTGAGAGATAGAAATATATATATATATATAGAGAGAGAGAGAGAGAAGGCATGAGAAGGGACGAAGGGAAAGGGAGTTATTCGACAGGGATGGCGATGACCGGGAGGGTCGGTTTATCCTGTCGGAGATCCTATAGGATGGGATGGCTCCCTTCCCTTCCCTTCTCTTCTCTTCTCTTTCCCCTGCGCCGTCACATCGTCGACCGACGCGCGATCCGGTTCGCGTTGAGTCACCGTGTATGCACGCATACACAGAGTTCAGCCTGAACTGTTCAGGTAGAAGAGTAACGCGCGAACCAACTCGTCTCTCCCAACCTCGGCCTCATTAAAGACGCGCGTTTGGGCGCAAGAATGCGCGCCACTGCACGTGGCTTGTTTATTTTATGCGAGAATATCTCGCGCTGATTTATATATATATATATATATGTATTGACACAATATTCGATGGAATTCAAATTTCTCGCTGTGACTTTGTATGCATTTTTTCGTAATATATAAAATTTAAACAATGAAACGATCATGGATTTAACAATGTTCAATTCAATATTTGTACATGGAGAATTTTCTCTTAGAACTTACCCCGAATTCGTGAAAATCGTGAGACAATAAATTCTAGGAGAAAATTCTCTCTGTGTATATTTGATTAAAAAATAAATTTAAAATTAATAACCATTTTATGTAGGAGTGTATAAAAGATGGTATAAAAGTCATAAGTCTGACATTTGCTTGTCTTAATGTTTAATAATTTAGCAGTATCGAACGAGTCATAAATGAAGAAAAAAATGATATCTCATTATTGCTTGAATTCTTAACTCTTACGTATCTTTTTATTTCGGAAAAAAAATAGTCCTGACTCTTATTATTTCAGAACACCCAGTACATGGTATATAGCGATACGGGAGCACAGAATGGGCTCTCTGACCTTATATATAAGTGTCACAGATGAGCGTATTCCGAGCATTTTATAGCGATCAGACAGAGAGAAATGAACAGTTTAAGGGATGAGAAGACGAGGGGAGAAAAACGACAAAAGGGAAGACTGAATAAACGGAGAGAAAGAAAAAATATTTCCTAAATTTTCACGGAGGGAAATAATAAAATAATTCACAGTTCTACACGTGTATGTAAATACGCGAATAAATGCGTTGTAAGCTCGATGTAACGCGGAAGCGGAAGTGCTCCGAAGACGGAATACACAAGTTGGTATATCGTAGTACACGACTTGTAACAAGTGACATATTGCTCGTGACGTAACGCGTGAGGGCGTTTCCGTCCTGTTATGGCCACTTCCGCCTCGAGAGACGGCCGCTTTCGCCCTTTTTCCTCACCTTTTTTTTTCTCTCCTATAATTATCGGCCCGCGCGCACGTCCTTCGGAAATTGTGATGCCAAGGTACGGGTCAATTAACGACGGAGGGGATAAAAGGCAGCTCGAGCACGTGATGTAAAGCCCGATTTATACGATCGTCGATATATGCGTCTCCCCGTACTCGGAAATATTTAACGAGATCGAGTGAAAATGCAAGTGTCAGCGCAATGCAAAATATTCAAAAATTCCAATATTTTATTTATTTATTTATTTATTTGATCAATTTCTACTTAACTGACTATTTTCTACTTAAACTATTACAGCGAAGAAATGTTTCGTTAGGCGCGTTTTACGTCGATGTAGTTTCATTTTCAAGCCATGGAGAACGTTTTCCTAGGTATAGTATGTGACGATGATATGAATGAGATAAGAAAAGCGTTGAGGAGCGACACGCGTAAAGGCGGCGAGGCAAGAAAGGAACGAGGAAAGAGGCGCCTTAGAGGGAACACATATAGAAGCGACACAACACAACAACAGAAGAAGAGACTCGCGCGCGTAACGAGACAGGAAATCACACCGATGTAACGGGAGATGCCGCGAAAGCGACATAAAGTGACACACGATGAGACACGCGAAGTATCGCGAAGTGGCACAGCATTGATACTAAACAATGCGTGACGTAGGAACAACACGGCGAGGAAAGGATATAGGTACCTAGTAGCGGAACAGACAGAAAATATATCGCGCGGTAATAGCGTGAGTGACAAGAGAGTGACGCGAGGTGATACGAGGGTGACATAAAATGCGGCTTGTTTTACGCATATATATATATATATATATATATATATATGTGTGTGTACAACGGTTAATAACAACGGCGCTGAAGCGAAGTTTCCGAGACGCGTCGCTTCCGGCACTTTATATTATATATTGCTATATCTTAAACTGAATCGCCGATTGAAAGCGCGACAAGATTTCATCGAAGATCAGTGAATATTTAACCACTGACCTTCGACGAAAAGATAAGACCTTTAGTAATTAATATGGAAATTTTAAATTATATACATGTTGCACTCAATTATCTTTAAGATATAATAAATTCAGATATAAAAATGAACATCGGACTCTTGATCGAATTTAGATATTTCTTGAACAAAGTATATTGCTTCATTTATTCTCGTTATTTATCATTATAACTAAAATCTATTTAAAAGAGTAAGCTCTCCTAGTACCATAAATTAATTAGATTAGAAAATTGAATTGAAATGAAGTTTACAAATCTAGCGAATGATAATATGTTTCTATATATAGGTATCTGTTCTCTCATCTTATTGTTAGGTAATATGTTTGCGCGAAGCGACGATCGATATTCGCGATCGATGACATTTGTCGAGTTGTCGGCCGCGATAATTGCGAAAGCGAGAACGAAACGAACGACGGGGATCCGTCGAGATGGACACGCGTGACTGCGAGCACGCATTAAGTCCACGGCGACGATTTGCATACGGCGCGTTATTTGCATAAGCCGCTCGTGGAACATAACAGACAAGCAAATCGAACAATCGCGCCGCCGCTCTTGCATAATATTTGCATAGACGATCGCGGGCGATCGACGGGAGAGAATTTCGTCCCGTCCAGAAACGGTACGCACTTATCAGAAGTGCATTAATAATAAAGAAGGGAAAAGAAGACGTACTAATTCGCGTACATGACGTGTACTATACGATTCTATCTTCGCCGCAGGAAGTTTGCCGTAGAAAAAGTATACAGGAATGAGAGTTTCAACTCTCCTCTGTATATAGTTAACGAGTTCAGGAAACGTTGCGTGTACACACATCCATAGATCGTTAGATCCATAGATGTCTAAGGTTTGATACGCGTACGAGAGTTCTTTACATTGCGCGGGATTCACGAGTGCTCGAACACTCTAGTTGCTACGAATTAACTGATTCGTATTTTTCTAAAATTATTTTCCTTTTCTCTTTCAGTCTTCTACTTGCGCGATGTAATTATTTTTCAGAAATAATCGTCCAGACATTTAACGTAATTTAAACGCGTCTCATTAGGAGTATTCATAGATCGTTAGATCCGATGAGAGTGCCTTGGGAGTGCTCGAACACTCCAGTTGCTACAATTTACCGATTCATATTTTTTCTACAATTATTTTTTTCCTCTTTCAATCCTCTACTTGTAACTATTTTTCAGAAATAATCTTCCAGACATTTAACGTAAATTAAACGCGTCTCATTAGGAGTATTCATAGATCGTTAGTTAGATCCGATGAGAGTTCCTTGGGATTTACGAGTGCTCGAACACTCCAGTTGCTACAATTTACCGATTCATATTTTTCCTCTTTCAGTCCTCTACTTGTAACTATTTTTCAGAAACAATCTTGTAATGTAATTATTTTTCAGAAATAATCTTCCAGATATTTAACGTAATTTAGACGCGTTTCTAATATTCATCGAGATCTCAGTTAAGCGCAAAAACTCGGTTTTTCTAGCAGCTACACCTCTCGCGAATTTGGATCGGATCGATGAAGCGTGTTCCGATTACGGAGATCGTTTAACGGCGCCTTTGTGTCGCGAAATGATAAAATATTTTGTCAGGGCGTCCTCTCTTCAATTTTCCGCGGTCCGAGAGCGTTTGATTTACAAATCAAACGATAATTCGCCCGTACTCCTGGAGTTTGTCTCGTCAGAAGAGGAAGCACAAAGGGAGCTAAAAGCTCCGGGGAAAGGGTGCCACCCCGTATACCGCAACTTACCCGCCGGTAAATCCCCTTTGTATTCTCACGTCGGGGCCGGCTGCGCCGGGAAACGATATCGACGGACCGTTTTAAGCGCGCCAGAATCCTTATTCTCTTCCTCTCTCTCGATGTGTGCGAAACAAACACGCTAATCAACGAAACGCGACGATTCCGCGGACAATGTGTCCGTCCATAATCACGTTAATGTTAGCTTTGATTATTTTCGATACTCTCCACGGACAATTGCTTTTCACAGTAGACGAGAAATTATAGATTAAGTTCGAATTCGTTCATGCAAATTGCGAAAAAATGTATCT